GGCTACTGGGATAGGGTTATCAAAAAGGCCCACAACTCTTCGAGAAAGGGTGGAAATTGGTTACAATTCGAAACGAGCAATACAGGCGCTATTCGGAAGCCATCTAGCTATATAATTACACTGGATCAATCTCCGGAAGTTTTGAGCGATAACGCCGATCCTATTGGGTAAAAAAAATAAAAATTGGATGAAGCAAGGTCTCGGTGGAACGAAGCGGAGACCTGAGACGAACTTCTTTCACTCAACGCACAATACATGCGCCAAAGCAGAGACTGGAAAGAAGGAAGTGTCGAGGTTGCCGCCCAGTTTTCTAATGAACCCAGGGAAGACTGTATAGGTTCCGTGGGTTTCTATATTTAACCCTTTCTTGATCTTCACAAATACGGTATTTTGTCACTTGAGGGTTCACCCGGACTTGAGGAGTTTGGGGGGAGCATTGAGGATCGTGCCACGATCTTATGGCAACTCCCTGAGGGCTCACCCTGACTTGCGGAGTTTAGGGAGAGCGTTGATGAGCGTACCACGATCTTTTGGCACGTTAGAACGGTTCCTTTTATCGAATTTATCGTCAGGGATAAGAAGGGAACGACTAGCTCTTGTATCAAAAAGTTGTTAGAAGATGAGAGATTATCAGTGTATGTGCTTGACGGTTTGACCGGAGAACCGTGTTTCGGTACGGATTATATGAAAACCACCATAAAAGTCTTTCAGAAGGCAATGCAAAAGACTGACGTGCAACATGCTTCGTGGATGGCTGAGCTTGGAGAGCGGACAACACTTGGAGACTATAATCTTAATGGCGTCAAGGCAATTCAGAACGAACGTATCTATATTCCCCTCGTCGCTTTAAAGGTTGACGACGACGTTCTCCGCTCACGAAATGGCAGAAGGTTTCTACAGGAGGTGAATAGGATTGATATCCCTAATGAGATTCTAAGGTATGCGAAATCGACTAAGATGAGGAGCCAGTGACGAAAGTTCTTCGGGCGCCTATGGGTAGGGCGCGGTCTTGTTTCTGTCGGCAGGACTACTGCAAGCCAGGCTGTGCTTAAGCCTACTGGTGGGTTTTCGCCTGCCATGAGAGAGCTTTTTAATTTATCGTCAAGAAAGTCGCCTGCTAAAGTGCCATAGCGCACAATGAAGCTTCTTGTCAGGATTTGGAAATCAAGAAAATCCAAGTGTGTTACCTAGTCTAAATCTAAATACATCACCTCAACACTTGCAAGGCTATAAAAAAAAAGGATCTTCATGACATAGACCGTTCGAACAATTCAGACCTCCTGACGTCTCGAGCTTGAGGCCTCCTTGTTGGCTACCCCGTGATCCCGATGTAAACCTAACTTCCAGCCTCTGTACCTCCACGACGTGACTTGACTATCTTGCATCCCTCAATAGAGTCCTTGCGTAATGACGTGACCAACCTTTTATGCGGCAAGTGCGGGAAGAACTTTTGCTTCGACAGTGCCCGGTCGAGTGATAATAATATACTAAGCGCGCGTGGGCATCACCTCCGATAACGTAATCCTATTGGCCGCTCCAGAAAGGACCCGCGTGGCCGTTGCCTAGCTAATATGCCATGCATGGCTGTGGAAAGCCGCTATGGGAGTATAAATATAGTTCATGGAGGCCCTCGACCTCGACCGACAGTCTTCTCTGATATCTATCTCTTCATGACACCAGGGTTGCAAATCAATCCATCCACTGCACTGACCGTCCCAGTAGAGTGGATGGACCATAATCCACGGAGCCCGTCAGTGTAGTGTATCCATTTGAAGCTATCGTGGAGTGGAATGGATGAAGTGGATTAATTAGTGGAATAGTCCATTACGTCAGCGGGTAGCGGTTGTTTAAAGCTGAAGTTATTCCCAACGCCCTGGCCGGGCGACTACAGCCAGTATCCTAAAGATAAGGAAGAAAGCGAGGAACAGAGGAAAAAGGAGAAATAAAGGGACCTTCCTGTCACATTCAGGCCATAAGCCATTATTAGCGACCGCACTAGTGGAGTGCGTACTCCCTTTTGCCTCCTCTAGTAATGCGATACTTCCTGCACCTCTCAAGCTTGCGTGGGTCTTTGGGACTGCACCGATTGATTGGTCAGTCGCGAGAGCAATCCGAAACCACCTCTGGCACACACCACGCTGCAATTGCAAAATGAATGCAGGGTCGCCTCCTCTTTTCCTCACTTTGTCATGCAATGCTATACCCGACATATTGTGATGTATATAGTTCCAGTGAGAAAAGTTCAACGGTTCTAACGGTACTGCTTTCGTTAAATGCTAGTAAAAGCTGCATTGCCAAGAGAGTTCACGATTTGGTTCTAGGGTAGCTATCGGGCCAGAGTTAAGCTCACATACCTAACTTGGCAGGGAGCACTTAACTGCTCTACTCCAAATCCACTCCATCCACTCCACGAGCGGTTCGAGTGGAATGGATGGATTAATGATCCACCAGCCAACCAGCCTCGTGGAATGGACCGTGAATCCACGCGTGGATTCTTCCATTCCCTTCTATAAAGTGTGTCACGCATGTCTACACATTCTCGACGAAATTCTGTTGCAATTATCGGCCTCCGAAGGGGCTTATGTTCTCGCTCTCGTTAACTTACCCGAAGGACAAGATTTAACAGCACTGTCGAAAAAGTACATCAAGATGATCAGAGACATCCCGGAGCATGAACGATGGATTAGCACGATGATTTCAAGGGGGCATACCGTTCTCCACATTGGCTCCGACATACCGCATCTGATGATGAGACTTGAAGATCCTTTCAGCCATTGGGAAAGCTTTGGGGGTAAGGAGTTTAAGGACGAGAAACCTTTGCGGCTTTGGCTGGCCGTCAGGGTGTCTCGTGAAGCTCATCAGAAGAGACAACAACGCCTTGAGGATTCCAGATCTGCTTCATACTCCGTGCTGAAAGACGGGACTACGACTCAAGGTCGAGGGATCAAAAACCTCCGCAAGATGGACATGATCTTGACGGACAGTAACGTCATTTCACCACCAGACAGTATGAATGTACCTGAGCATGAGCTTAGGTCACCTCAGTGGACACGAAGTAGCACCCCAAACATGAGCCACATTCAGATTGTCTGGGCGCAATTTCCTCGGTTCTGCGGCACGGAACACGACATTACCCCCCGAGTCCACCTATGTCCTCTGCAAAACAATGCTAGAGACCCCGGCGATATAATGGGAGGGCGACACCGTTCAGTCATTGGCTACAATTGTTGTAGTGAGATTGCGCCAGGGACGCAAACTGCGTTGTTCGGTGCCAGAAAGGAGAAAGTAGAAGCTACAATGCCTTACATATCCTTGAACACTGGCTTGCAATCTACCTCTCAGGAAGTTACCGGTGGTGAGGAGCGGTTACGCGCTGACGATTGGGCATTCATCATCCACTTTCGGTGCATGGGAGAAGCGACCGGCCCTCAAATTCGTCCCGAGCTGCACGGGATTCCTTGGCCTTCTGACTGACGAGTCTAGGTCGGGGATAGTTTGATAATTGGTGGGTTTGAGAAGAGAGGGGTAGCATGGAGGACACCGACTTTTGTAGAAACACTAAATGCAAGCGCACGGCGGGTTGTCATTTTGTGTAGGGTGTTCGGAAGCCAGGGTAGAATAGTCAATGGAATATCTAGCTTGACATACACCCCTGATTCCGCTCAGTCCTAAGCGCTGAGTCACCACCAAGACAACGGAGTTGCTGTGTCTCGGAACCTTGCGACTTTATGCAGCACAATGCAGCCGGCTCTTTCTAATTCACTTTCCAAACTTTGTAGTCAATGCTTGCCGCTAATAATACATTCACTTGACTCAGTCGGTTCATTTCAGCAATTACATTAGTCTTCCCTGTAGGCTGCCCAATCTTAACAGGTGAAGAGAGTGCGAGTCGTCGGCTTCGCTTTTTTGACGTTAGTAATAGCAAAGGGGACTCGAGGCAACAGTCGTCTTCATTTCTCTTCATGGTGGAGGTCTGAAAACCAATGAGAAAACAGCTAACCTCCGAACGCCGGAGGGAGTCATTACTGACTCCCTGGACATAAAAATGTCGGTAGTAGTACAGTTGAGAAAACTCAATACATTCAAAAAGTGTTTAGATGAACACTGCTGCCGTACCTTGGCCGGATCATCATGTGTCATGACTTTGGTCGAAGCAATGGCCACTAGGAAGTAAACGACACGGTCTAGGGCCGAAATCGGTCTTACAGGATGAGAAAACATGACTCTTCGCGGCAATCAGGCACACTTTTGGGTCAACGAGCGACTTTTGGTTAAGGCAAGACCGGCCAGCTCTGGGTGGCAATGCATTAAACAAAACTTTGACATACATACTCGAGTTACATAGAGTACTTCGTTAAAAAGCTGATCGCTAAGGCCTGTTCATTCAACGTTCTCCAGGTCGTTGGAAACTCGACTCTTCCGGAGATGGTGCTCTTGACCGCTGGAAGTAGGTTTGTTTTTGTTTCAGCAAACGTCTAAATCGATTTATGCGGACAACAGGTTCGCGCTCAATTGACGGCAGTGCTTCATGGTTCTCGCCAGTTGAAAAAGCTGAAGGGTGGGTGGTAAAATGCATCGTGAGGCAACTGCACAGAATAGGCTTCATCTCTCAAACTGGAAAGTCATTTAAACAGTCAATAAAGGCGTGAAACGGCCTAAGAAGGTAGGAACTCACTGACAGATAAGCCGAATATAAGCATTACCATGAAATCCAGGCCTATCCTCAGCCTTTATAGGAGTTTGTCCTCTCTTCAGCGGGTTTCGGCGCGACATGGTGTGGCAAAGAGACACCGGCACGCGAACTAGGTAGATGAGCATCCGATATGCTGTGTTCAGGGAAGCTCTTGTAGCGCCCGTACTATTGTTGGGCTGGCCACGGCGACTGGGGTTCTCTACTGTAACGTCCGAAAATAAACCTTCAGGGAGTCTAGATTGGGCATTGATTAGCGTTGCGTCAAAACTGGAAAGTTGTCTGCATGACGTCCCCGGCCCGTTTCCGTCAGCGTCTTTGCAACATCATGCCTTGGCGGTATCTCAAGCAAACCTCGGAGGCCAGTACGGTCTGTATTAAGGTTCAGGGCATGCTAATGCAATTGTTTACATGAGCAGTTGCGATGATGAAGCGGATAGAGGGTTCATCGAGCGGCAATTACTTCTGAATGACTTATCTAAGGGTTCCTTTAATATTCCTAGGAGTATAATAAATAACAGAACATTTCTTTCTATTTACTATCGCTTAGTATTAAGACCTATTTCTAGATATGCTAGAGCCGCAGCTATTCGTAATAGTAGCTAAAAATGAAGCTCCTTTCTTTTGATAATTACCTGGCTAATATTTGCCTCGCTTCATCTAATGTTCACAAAGACTAATTTCGGATGGACTCTTAATAGTCGATTTTTTAACGAGTAGCCTTTTACTACTGGTAATCGTCCTAGCCTGGACGTCGCCCACTCCTTGGTTTTGACGATAGCCGAGGCATGAGAGGTATATTAAGATAAGGCAGTCCCCCCAACTTTCAAATCGCCATTCCACTTGCAACAGCCATGGCGCCTACCAAAGGAAAAGAAAAGAAGGCCAAGCCAGCATCGCCAAAGGAGGCTGTCAAAAAGCCAACATCGAAGCATGAGATGCAACAACAGCTTGAAAGAAAACTGGCTTCACTCGAACGCGCGGCTGCAGCCTATGATAAGGCAAGCCCAGAAAAAAAGCAGCAGATCGATGGCATGCGAAATGAGGTTAGTGCGTTGCGTGCTGTCGTCGACTCGATGGACGTAGATGACGAACCACCGACTCCTTCGGGGAAAGTTGAGAGCAAAGTTGAAGAACCCAACACTCAGCCAGCCACAGGAGAGCCAATCGAAAATAGGGGAACCACTCCGGACAATAAAAGTATGAAAAGAACACATGGAAATGAGAGTGGCCTCTCCTTAACGGGGTCTTCACCTGACAACGGCTCAACATCTCCTGGAAAGGACGATGATAGCTCGAAGACGCCTGGAAATCCTGGCGGCGACGGTAAAAACGAGCCCGGGCACGAGAAAGGGGCAGTAAATGAGGGAGGACAGCAACAGAAACCGGAGACAGGACGCGCCGCGCCACGGCAGACTGTTGTGCAGTCCATTGAGAACGATGAACCGAATGGATCTTTGTTCCTCGGAGATGATGAAACATCGGAGTTTGAAGATCCGGAGTATGGCAAGCCGTTGTTGACTATCCCGACTACAAGTGGCATAAGCGAAGAAGGTGTGAAGACAGTGGGGTGGTCCGGTAGGCATCTTCCCAAGTACATTAATATGTACGGAAAAAAATATTCGGCAACCTACCGGGTAGAAAATCGTGCGTTCCCCCGTAGCTACGCAGACGATCGGCCCGAGAATGAGAACGTGGGGAGCGCGAAAAATAGATTCGGAGATACACTACCAGGTATCGGTAGAGTCCAACATCCGAATGCTGAAACGCCTAGGATCTGGGGAGTTGCCTGGCGGGGCCTGAATTCGGGCGACTTGGAGCACGACTTGGAACTCATCGATCCCGAATACAACGAGTCTTTCACCCATACCGTTACTTACGTTCTGGTGGGATGGATGATCGACGGAGAGGAGGAGAAGAAGTGGGAAACGCGAACTGCTTATCGAAATATAATAGGAAGCAGGTCCAAGGCCGATAGGAATATTTACAAGGCCGCGGTCGAGTCTCAACAGAGGTACATCGAGGCCAAGGAGGGCAGGCGAAGGGCGATCAGTAGGTCTCCCTCCGTCCCCCTTCTAGAAGGAGAGCTCGGTCTGGCAAGGGGCAAGACTCGATCGGCAAGGCGCACGAGCAAATCATCGCGGAGCAAGAGAGGATCGGCGCAAAGGGACAGAGGATCATCGCCAACTCGATTCTTACCGTCGCCAAGATCCACCGTGTCCCCCCAACGACAGACGCAGGGCGCGGGAAATCTCAGTGAAGTCAAAACGAGATTTCTCACAGACTGGCTTGAACTGCGAGACGCCGAAGACTTTTCAGAACTAAGTGCGGCCGACCAGCAACAATGTGTAGAGTCTTGGAGGATCCATAAAAAGTCGGTGGCAGCTGCTGCCTAAGAGAGAAGAAAAAGAAGAAAAGGAAAAAGAGATAGGTTTTCTGGTCTGCTTTCTACTTCGCTTTCACTTACGAAATTGCTCTGGGAGGTATATGCCCCTTTCTTCACTCGAACTCTCATTATGAAGACCGCCACATAAAGGTTCCTCTCATAGGATACTAGACGAAGAAAGCTGAAGGTTGCTGTGGATTTGATGCGTTGGTAGTTTGTACTTGTTTATGTTTCTGCTATCTAGATCACTAAATTGGGATAAGAAATTGATATTTATGTTTTTTAATTTACTTCTATCACGTGCGGGTTGTCGTCATGGGACCAGATGATTGCCTTGCTACCTAACGAGTCTATTTTGCTGATTGTGGATCAACCATTCTAAGTCCAGCGCCTTCCAACGCCGTTCATAGCACGAATGGGTACTGTGCGTCAGGGATGCGCCGCACTTCTCATTGATATTTTGATTCGATACTGGCTCCAGGTGAACGGGAACATAGCGTGATATTACCATACTTCTGTTATTCCGCTTTTCCGACCCTCCTGATAATGGTTGGGAGTACGGGCAAACATGCCATTCTCTGGGTATTGCGATACGGCGTTTGATAGTAATTGTTGGATGATGACCCTGTATTACGAAACCTCTGACAGTTTGTTGGTGGGAGTGACCTTTAGTGCAGACCACACCCGTCTTCAGGGTAGGAGCTAGAGAAGGCAGAGGAACAAGAGAAAGCAACAATTTGGCTGTCACCTGGGGCCTTGAGATACTGAGAGCAATTGATCTACTGCTTTCTGATATCTCCAAAGAAAAGGAAAAGATAAATATCGATAAGAGCTGCTGCGACAGCTATAGTGTAATGAGTGTAATGCGACAAAAGGTGTCGCTCGGTATAAGGAAAGGAAAAAGCGTGTCGTTTCAATTGCTCAGGCAGACTAGACGCCTTAAGTAGGGCCATCCTAAGCTAGCTGCAGGCCCCCTACTGTATTAAAACTCCAAGTGGACCGTTAGCCCCATCACAATAGATTGATATCCTGACCTTAGTCAGAAGCGGGGAACCCCTCTTCCGGCCGGTCCGGATGACGAGCACAAGCAATCATCAACATCATCATCACTGCTTTGAACACTATCCATTTGATCAATTTTGCCGTAACGGATCCATCAGTAATCAATAAAACCTAGTAGAGCAACGCCCCAACTCTTTATGTAAGCCAAGTACGACATAGTACGTTAGTTGGAAACTCAAACCCTGTGTGCAAACTCTACTCTTCCGCTAATGGCTCTGGACTATTGCTGCCACTGTGTTGTTAATAAACTACGTATCCCAGGAGCAAAATGCCTGCACGACTTACTCAGCTCCACGACAAGACTCGCAGGGACAAAGAGGAAACAAAGTTAACATATAAGGAGAGTATACGAGTTTGGGCAAACGGAACGCTGAACGTGTTGGTGAGTATGAGAGGACCAAACACATCATCACGTAGTTCTGAATCAGGGTTCTGTAAATAGCGGCATTAATATCAAATTGAAGCTTAAATACTGGTACCACTGACTTATATACTCTGTGTCTCGACTAGTTTACATCATGCCGGCCTTGTGTGCTTGGAAGCTCCCTAGATAGTGCTCTCCGCCTGAGTAATAAAGTCGTAGTCATCCTTCGGCCTGAATTGCCAAATATGGTTTCTACCGTCAATTTCATAGAAAATGAAGAGATAGCCACCTTTGAAAAACCAAGAGATGACGTCTACATTCTCAGTTCCGTACGTGACTGCACGTAAGCGGCTCCTTGTCTGCCCCTCGTCCCCTGGAGCAGCCTCCTTCTTGCGGCAAAGTCTAGTAAAGTCGGCAAAGGGGGATTGTACGTCGCCATTGACATAATACGTGCTGACGTTCAGGATAATGCCCGAGTGTTTCAACAGAATATCCCGTCCCATTTCATTCTGCCAGTCATGAGTCCTCAACTCCTTGAAGAATTTTTCCCTGAGTGGAGGATGGTCATTTTGGTCTGCATCGCCGTCCTTTGTCTGAGCTGATTCGATAACTAGGACCAGATAGACTTGACTTGCGTTTGAAGTCTGGCTTTGGTCGTGGAGCTTATCAAAGTCGGAGCTCAAAAGATGGAGCCGATAACCCAACTTTGTCATTTCTTTGAGCCATGTCGAGTTGTCTCCTAGAATCATTTTCCAGGCGGCGCCTTCACCAGAAGCCGACGGTGCAATGGTAGATTCTGGCATTTTGAGATGTAGTGTAGGAAGTGAAGTTGGTTGACTGATATCCGGAGCTACTATGGACGAGGTCGGATTTTTATATCAGCAGAAGATGTAGGCCAACAGACTAGTATGTCTTAGTAAAGTTTGGACTGCGCCTACAAAGGCCATTTCTGGATAAGTAAAGGTAAAAAAGTCATTTTGAGCCGCGCCGAGGCGGGTTATGCTGTCCCAAGCTTTCGAGGACAATGGAGGGTTTGAGATCGACTGTGTGTTAGGTGGGAATGGATACGCCCTAGAATGGCTGTCTCGCGCTCCAATTACATCCATCTATTTCTCGCTAAAATTGGGCTAAGCAAATTTGATCTCAATTCGCATCTCGACCAGAGAAAGTTGATCTCACGACGACAATCTGTTACACCGCCAGGGCCAGCATGTTCCTTTAAACGGCGAAACAACCACACAGGCCATGATGTGGTTTTGTCTACCATTGTTTCCAAATGCCAGGATTTTATGAAAAGCCATCAAAATTGATATGCGACACACGAGTTACTAGGTTGTCTATCAGCATTTATCAAGCTTCTTGGACGTAGATATGAACGCTGAGCTAACGACAAAGGGGAGTGGGTGGGTGAGCTGCATAGTTTTCTCTCAAAGTAAATCTTTTAAAAGATGTTGCAAACACGATCTGGTGATATGCATCGTGACTGGGCTCGGAACACTATCTTCTCAGGTTTACCTCCTTCGGCGTCGTCAACCGACGCCAAAGTATCTCGCCCGTCGTAGTAAATGCCAGTTTGTTGGAACAAAGGCCGGAATTGGACTGCAAGTCTGGTCGGAATACTTTCATTTGTGGACCTTCGGAGCCTATATGAATCCATCTTAGGTAGCTCCATATGAACTTGGAGGGCGTCTATTGAATAGGAAACCTGCTCATTGATCTACCCTTGGTTAATATGAAGGCTCTGCTTCTTCCTTTTTTATTTTCTTATGTCAATGCGCTTAAAGAGGCGTGCATTTTTGAATATGGGCAATGGGAGCCCGAACCGGGCCAATGCTTTGCGTTGGTGTTGAGGGAGCTAGGTGTCAACCGTCAGCAAGTCCAGGACCTCAATCCGGGTATAGACATCGACGATATCTTTCCCTCCATACCCTACAATGTGCCATACAATGTTCCTAGGTACTCCGCCGTGTGGATTAATGGTTGTCCGCCCATGCTGCAGCTTTCGGACGGCGCAGACTACCCCAACAGCCTAGTGTGCGGTAATGAAGAGAGTACGACCAGTCAGCCTCTCTCGTCGACTGCGGAAGCAAATGCAACACCCTCATCGCCTTATGCAAGTGACGACGAGTCGATTATAAAAGAGGCTACTACCACTTCGGTATCAAGGAGGCCGGCACTGCCACTGTCGTCCCTAAGCACTGTACAATCGCAACATGAAGGGGATAAGAAGAACATCCCATCAGACACGTCATCAAGCCAAGAATCGACCACGTCGTCTACTACGCCCCCAACCGGAGAAATAAGCACACTCTTAGACTTTCCTTCAAGCAAAAATACCATTCAATCATCCCGTACTGGTTCAAAGGCGTCCTCTAGCGAAGAAACGGATAGCACGTTAAGAACGCTGTCAGCAGTTGGGACCGCGACAGTGTCAGGAGCTCTTTTAAGTACAGACAGTAGCGAACCTTGCGCTACACTACCAACCACGGGAACTACCACGTCGTCAGTCACGCTGCCGGCAGAACATTACTCACGAAAGCTGACTTCTTCAAGCAAGGATACGACACAAGAAACCTCGGCATTATCCAACAACACATCGACCAAAAAAATAGACACGTCTCTCGCTACGTCAACAGCTGAGAAATCAGCAACTGCGTCCCCCGACACGCTGTCAAGCGCGGCAACAAGCACACCGACCGACACACAGAAAACTAAGGCGGTCGAGGATTCGACAAGAACAGCCATTCCGTCGGTCACTGGATTGAGTACATCATCAACAAACAATAATGAAAGGGATTCGTCGGTAGGATCCGCGAAAACTACTTTATCCGAGGAACTAAGTAAGTCTTCGGCCACGGCATCGTCTCACAAGGTTAAAGAGACGACTGAGACCTCTGACGCGCAATCTACTGCTGTGCCGACCGAAAAAAAAAATTCAAAGACGACCACGACGATCGTGTCATCAGCAATCGAGACAGAAACATCGTCAGCCACGACACCAAGTGAGAACGATGAAGAGACCACTACGGGAACAACCAGCTCCGATGAAACATCAGTCGCCGAGACCTCTTCATCATCTATCATATCATCTTCCCACTATTCGAAGAATCGAAAGACAACGCTACATAGAACAAAGTCAGCTCTTCGTGAGAAGGCGACGGCAACAACAGCGGACCTTAGTCAGACGAACTTACCCGCACCGATATGTGGAGATGAAGATGAACTCCCAGGGTATGGAGATATCGTGGGGTGGAGCGTTCAAACAAGCGCAGAACTATGGTGCAACGATGAGTCGTATCAAAGATCGGTAAGTCCGGAGGATAAGTGCTCTCTTGGTGTAGAATGGCTCGGTGGTATAGGCTACGAGTATTCTATCTGTTGGGCAGAGGGATGTGTAGGCGGGGCACAAGACCGGAAAAAGCCACTTGGAGATGATGGCCCATCATGCAAGGATATTATGTTCCGAAACTGGGAGTCATGTAAGTTTTGACAACAGTCGTGACTTTCCTTGATATTTACATATTCACAGGTACTGGTAATGGAGGAGTTGGTGGAGTAACACAGGCGGGCTGCTTGTTGTTCAAGTTTCGAGGTGGGGTAGGGAAGTCACAGGGGTATAAACAGGGGGAAAGATATAGAGAGGGGGAGAAATCTAAACGGGGGTATAAACGGGTTCCATTCTAGAGAACTGCCACACTGTTGTGCGATGTAGAAGTTGGAATCATTTTCGATCGAGCAGATTACTTACTGAACTTGAGTCTGTCAGCTCACAGTCGTGATCGGATTCCTCAGTCGGTAGTTCACCGGGGTTGAGCACGAACGTTCACAATAATTTGCACGTCAGTGATTGGTTCCACGGGCAGCTATCTTTCAACACCACATCACAGCGTGGCTGATGTTGCTTCAGGTCGTGGTGAAAGGTACCTGAGCCTCAGTTGGCATGCCAGGCACGGCTTGTAGCTGCGTCACGCCGCCATGAGTTGAGCCTACTTTGGTGTTAGCTATGGAATTTCTGGGCATTTGGATTCAACCTTTTGTTATGATTAATATAATGTCCTTTGGAGGTTCAATACAAGATCTAGCCCGCTGAGCCTACTTCTGCCTTGTACCTTCAGAAACTCCAACGTGCGGTGGGAGTGTGGTGTATTGCACATCTGCGAGGCTTGACGTTCTAATCGAAGTTTTGCCATTTCGATGATAAGTGGCAAATGGCGCTGCTTCTGTCCAGATATTGTGGGTCTAGTGTAGCCGCTCGAATCGTATCGATAACACCACTGTGAGACTTGGCTGAGCAACTTCCCCGCCTTTTGACCTTGGGATCAGTTCCATCCCTCCTCTACATACGATCGATATTATAGATCTGAACGACCCCATCCGCCAAATCCGTAACACTGAACGGGAGTCGATTCGCGTTTCCCTGTTATCCATCGATAGACTCTCTTCATTCATTCCTTATTTGCCAAAGTCTACAGGGGACGATATGCGGGTCGTTCACCAGCGGAGCCAAGATATCCTTAACGACTACGAAACAACGAAAAAATCTGGTCTTGTTCGACTGTTGAAATGTTATCAAAGGACTTTGAAGATGGCGTAAGTCAGATGGCTTTTATTCGAACTCAACATCCAGAGGTAGAGCTTCGTGGCCGAGGAGCACCAAATTAATGAACTCAAATCGGAGCTGCGGGCCATATAGGAGTTGACCTCAATTCCTCCCCATCACCAAACGGAAGGGATTCCAACGTCCCTTTCCATCTGCGATCGAAGCCTTCGCTATCTTCCTTACAAACCCATACTGGAACAGCTTCAAAATATCAGAAATTTCGGCCTATCCTCTCTGTGAATGAGGTTATCCGCGCATAAAAATGCCTCTCAAACGACTAGATTATCCAATCACCGCGTATTGTCGCTACAGGCTCCATAGGGTCTCCGAGATCTTTGAGTCGGTTTCAACGAAGAATATTCCAGCGGATTGCCGGACGCTGTTGGTTATGTACGTTGCCATCTGCTTCGCTTTTACGAAGGAACTCGAACGAGAAGCGGAGAATCATGCAAATTTTAACTCGTGGTGGATTAATCTTCACTACCCGCACTTGCTGAATTTATATGGACGAGCTCTTTTGGTGTGTGGCAGAATGATTGAGGATTCAAACGGTGACATTCAGTTTTCACTTGATTACTTTGCTAAGCAAGTCGCGTTCGATTTTGGGATGAACGAAACAAGTCTTCGCTCACGAAAGCCGTAAGACCATGCTTCTGGCGGTTGTTACTCCGATTAAAACAGTGTCATGTGCACGGTTACTGGGATTTTTGCTCTTTGATGGTGTTGGATCCGTTACGGTCAATTTGATCAAATGGATAGTGTTCAAAGCAGTGATGATGATGTTGATGATTGCTTGTGCCGGTCATCCGACCGGCCCGGAAGAGGGGTTATCAGACCCCCTTCTGACTAAGGTCAGGATATCAATCTATCAGAGGTTTCGTAATACAGGGTCATCTTCCAACAGATGGCTTAATGTATTCATTCTCCGGGCTCCGGAAAAGCAATGAGAGTGTTCTTAGCTACAAAGAGGCCCGGTGATGAAACTTCTAACACCAAGGTACAGACACTGAGCTGGCAAGTCAACGTATCAGCAAGGCCAGCGCGAATGTATCTCTCTGCCAGATCATCAATGGATGAAAGTGATTAGGTTCATTCAGAAGGAAATAGGGCTGTCACTGAATTATCCGCGCGTGTTCTTGTTTTACGTAGGGTAATATCATTAGAAGGTCGCTTTCAATGTCAAAAGAGGTCAGCCCAGGACACAAGACAATCGTGGCCGCTGGTCGGCACTTTTGCAAAAGGTGAGATGCCATAATCACTTATAAGAGCGAAGATCATAAAGCCAAGGCCGCAGTCAGTCGTTGTACCCCTTACCTTACTTAGTTCTTATTCATATGTACGAGACAACCAGTTCTACTTTTCCATATCGTACTGATTAATAAGAGGCCAGGGATAGCCCAAGCCCCTAGGCATTCATGAGCACTGCGACTTACGCGGCTATCTTTTTGCCTGTGCCATATTGAATATTCTCAACTTTATTGTTAAGAGGAGCTTCAATACCAAGGGGACTGGGGCAGGATGGCTGGTTACTGATGGCAAGGTCCAGGTGGCATTCTTCATCCACACCTAATTTACACACTTGGTCCTGAATATTATATAACACATGGTTCTGCGCAACCCAGCTCGTGGGCTGGGCAATGCAAGATGCGACATAATTCATGCTATTGGCGGCTGAAAGGGGAAGCTTGCCCTCATGGAGCAAATGCTGGCATTCCGAGGCGTGGACAACATCGTAGTTCATGCCGATGCCACCACCCATATGGGGCTCCTCGACGGCAGATTTACCGAAGGCAAGGTAGTTCCAGGCATCGTAGGATATGTCATAGGCTCCCCCGGAAGTGTCGATGCGGAGAAGATGAACCGAGCGGCCCTCGTTGTAGACCCTAACGCAAATGTCGTCACAGCCAACAGAGCCTGGCCAGTACGCGACACGGTTGTTATCGATTTTGCAACCCAAGGACCCCGATGGAGCTGGAGTACTGTTCGTGAGGTGTGATATTTACGATACTGCGAGAATGGCCAGCGACCACGCAACCTGCGAAAGCCAAAATAGTGATAGCGATGGCGGTCAATAATGATCCGAGTCGTTGAAACAGTATGCTTTTTCTAATCGGAACAATAGGTATCGGATTCATGGCAGAGCAACGTACACATGTGGTCCAGATATCGGGAAAGGCTAGTTTTCATTCAGTTTCTTCACTACTTACATACGACGCGGGACGTGTCAAGAACATGTGTTCAAGGGTGCCCACCATGGTTCGTAAAGAGTCTTTCTTATTCGGCCCCGGTTTGAAACAAAAAAGGCCGAAACGGGAGGCTGTTACCCGATCCTGCTAATCTGTCCCATACCTACCGGCATGAATGAGACCCATTGTGGAGGACCGTTGAGACATGATACGGTACCATCTTAGCTAGTCGGCAACCCTTGCTTTGACACTAGCCGGGAGTGGAAATAAGGGTTGCTACGACACCGACGCTGTACATAGTTCCCCAATACATGAGAGACAAAGTTGAATCTCGTATTCGAAGCAGTCTGTATACGAATTTTAACTAATATCCTGGGGAAAAAAACGAATGATTTTCTCCTGATAGGGTCCTCTTAGGGATGATTAGAAACACACGATGGTTTCCAGACGCGGCATTCATTAATGGCTGACACGAACGCCTTCCATAACCACTGCGATAGAATAATTGAAATATCGAATTACGATGTAGACGTAGTCTAAAATATTGCATCCTTTGTGAGCCAAGTTTAGCATACTTCCGCCCCAGTCCCCATTCTGTGCCGCTAAAGCGACACGCATTACTCCTTGTTGGACCTGAGAAAGACACAGATATACCATTGAATACGGTACCAAAAAAAAGACGAAAGGGCCGGTCGCATCTGTAGGTGGTTTTCCAATCATCGACGTGACCCCTTGGTCAATCATGATGTCTCACGCAATCACTAAATACAAATTCCTATTCTTATACCATCCCGCGCCAAAGCTCAGCAATTATAAGCCCAAGGTACTGTGCCATCGGTATCCCGTGTAAGAACAGTACTCGTCTGAGTGTGCGAGCCGCCACAACACATAGGCCAACTTAGAGTTTGGGTTGGATGTCTCGAGCATGATCGCTCGGATGCTTGAACGACTGCATCTTATCGACGAAACTGGCCCATGACTGGTCCGACATGATAGGTGCAGTAGTGTAGGCATCCGCTTCATAGTTTTGCAGCGACTGCAACATGTCGGCCAACACATCATCGTATGCCTCAACTGCGGCGTCCCCGATCGCTTGGAGCACATGGCCGTCGGATGAACAATGTCTGAAGTCCGTACCGACGCACATGTGTTCGTATAGACGGAGGACTTTGGACAGGCCCCTGATTCTCTTGCTGCCTCGTAAGCCATGCGGTGGCCGATTGCCTCAGCTATAGGGCGACAGCAAGGAAGAATATGCTGATTGAATGCCTGGCCTCTGTGTTCACCATATCCACCAATATCCTTGAGTTTGGACCTGGCAGCTTCCATCATTTGCCGTTCACGGCGAGCCAAAACTGTCGTCGGATCTTGTGGCGCCGGAAGGCCGTATTTCCCTCCAAGAAGTTCTGATACCAGTCCTATCAAAAACGGTTAGTTTCAGTCACCGACGTAGGTGAAGTTGAAGATACGCACGTATACACAGGACCAAGGTGTCCCCTTCAGCAATGGCATTACCCTGAAACGTCAATGCTAACTCGCTAATCTGGTTGTACGCAAAAAGGCCTTGCCAACCACATCGCTCCGTAAGCTCATTCAAAATGCGTGAAGCTCGAACAACGGTTGATTTGAAAATGGTGGCAAGGGCATGCCGCGCGAGCGGGCCATGGTCGGCATTCATGAATGCTTTACGGTCCAATGGGCGTATAGTTCAAGGATCTTACCCTGCACCCATCCCTCGATGATTGGACGCTGCTGGGTGCTGAAGCTCATGATTGGTACGCGTGTATGCCCGTCAGGAGCGGTAATTGTTCGTCGTTGGCTGTAAGTACCAGCGATGTGCGTCCCAACCTTGATGGCAGAAACGCCCATGATCGAAAGTGACAACGTCCCTATTGAAACCCGCCAGATCTGGCGGAGAAAATCGGCACGTTCATCTTTCGACTTGGAAATGGAACCGAGGAGGGCATTTCGAGGTAAGCGAACATGCTCGAAAGTTGTGATTGAATGATCTAAGGGCTTAGTTCCGGGCCTCGTAGGCAAGATTCGTGATGTGATCCCCGGTTTCATCTTCTCGGAGCTGCTCAAAGGAACGAGGAAAGGTTTCACCCCGTGACAATTCCCGCCCACCATTAGGCGAGCAAAGACGATTGCTACACGTGGCATTCTACAGTAGGGCGTAGTCGGAGGCATCGCCTTTGCCGCCGCGGTGTTGGGGGTGTGGAGATCGAAGGAGCCATCTGGCTGTAGTGTCGCCCTGGTCTCCAGATTACGTGCGTCCAAGCCGTGGCCAACCTCTGTGAGCATGAATTGGCCGCAGATGTCGAAATTCAATAACTTCTCAACAAGATCTTGAAGGTCAGGGCGGTCTCTGACGAAAGAACTAAGCGTCCCGATGCAGAGGTTCACATGGATGGTCGCGATGATAAATGCCGCCATGTCGCGGGCGGCAATCACTTGATACTGTTAGCATGTTGTCTCGCCTTTCCGGACGGACACTTTCAAACTTACAGTCAAAATGAAAGTTCCAAAACTTTTTGGCTCAAGTGTTGGATATCGTCAAGTGACAAGGCTTCGGAGGATTTGATCAGTCAACATGATCCATGTGTATAATCTCTTTACTCACCAGCATGGCGGCACATTGATTGTGCTCGTTCATAATGCAGGGCGACAACTTCCTGTGATGCAGGCTCTTCGACATCCTTGTCGACATGCAGACAT